ATGGTGGAATTGGTGATCCTCTTACCATCTTGGCTTCTGAGAGACACCAACACTCTGAGAAGCTCTTTTTATACCCAATCATGTTGTCAATTGACCTAATTAGTGTCAATTGGTCTTCCAGATGTTCGTTATATGCTCAATTTCCTTTTTCCAGCCACTTATTGCTACTTGTCCCAACTTTTTTGGGATTTGTTGACACTGTGAAATTTTGAATCAACATATTTTTCCTTTAAAATGTTACATTTACTCAGATTAAACTTTTGATCTGTCATCTATGTTGTATTACGAATAAAATATTGACATTTGCCATCTCCACATCATTGCATTCAGTTTTTATTCACAATTTGTTTAGTGTCCCAACTTTTTTGGAATCCGGTTTGTATAAAAAAATAAAAATGATCCTTCTGTTATTTAGATGAAAAAGTCTGCACAAAACATAGATCAATAAATCCACCACAAAAACTAAAGTGCAGGTGAAGTTTCCTAAAATAACTAAATAAAATGAAGCTTAAGATTGTTGATCATAAATGTAACAAACAAAATATATGTTGTCTTTAAATTAGCTATAACTTCCAGAACTTGTAACAAGGTTATCATCTGACCCTGAAGCTTGTGGTGTTTCAGCTTCCTCTGTTCCTGCAGGAATGATTCATTTCTCTGATCACCTGACTCTGTTCTTGCTCCATGGACTGTGGAACTCAAGACAATTGAGCTGCGCATGTTTGTACCGGCAGTTTAGAGCGGAGTGGGGAGAGAGAAAAAAAGACGAGTGGCAGCTTAGAGCGGGGGGAAGGGAGAGACATTTGAGCTGTCTGCATCTGCAGTTTAGAGATGGATGGAGAGACAGCTGAGCCACGCATTTTGTTTTTAGCTTTTTAGCTAGCTAGTATTGCACACAACTAATTAACGTTACACCAGTACAGACAAGTGGAGGGAGGGTGCACAGTTCGGTTTGGTTGTTCAGCGCGCACGGTTCTGTTAAAGGGGTGGGATGCCCTGACGTTTTACGTCATGAAATTAGCATATCATGATATCATTTTTTTGCCTGGGCAAGCTTTTTTTACCGGTATTATTGTGAACGATATGATATTGCCCAGCCCTACTTCATTGTTCTGCTGGCACGTCTCACTGGCGATTCCAAACAGCAAAATTTTGCGGCGACATTTTCGGTCCGAGCTTGTAGCCTTCTCCAAGGTAGATTCGTTCCTGTCCGTGAGTTCTGAGAGCCGCAAATGGCCTGCGGTTCTCAGAAATCACGTCCAGCTTATGGCTCAACTCATGCATCATCTAGAGTCTGAGAGCTTACCGCTTGGTGCATTCCTTCATACATGCAGCCTCGCAATTGCCAGAATCGCAGCCAATGTCTTCCGAGTTTGTTAATATGCCAGATACCCGCCAACTCCAAAAAGCAGAAATCCGGTTATCATCAATCCAATTATGTACGAGTCTTCTACATCCTCAACGGACAATACGGACAGACACACCTTCTTCCACTGCCACCAGCAGTGTTTCCCTAGTTAACTT